GTATCCTCACCACCAAACATTCCTTCGTAACCATATGATGGCGTAGGATCCTCAACCTGTGTAACCTGTGTGTTTGCTTCCAACACTATATGCAAAAACACATAGGACATAGGAGTAGAGTAGTAAATCCACGAAAGAGAATTATCATTATGCAGTCTTCCGGTAATAAACGAACCATCCTGTTGTCTCGCCATCATAGTAATATCCGAAATTGTCCAACTATCACGAAACCCACCATTTTCGTAAATCATATCTACCAATTGTTGATATGATATTATTCCATTAATAACAAATGAACAATCTGGACGAGACATATAATTCGAAAAATTCCATAACTCACTCTGGGGAATTTTCCAGTACACATTAACAAAGTATGGACCGTTAGACGACATTTATAACCTGTTACGCAAAAAAAAATTATATTTTACAAATTACAACAACATAAAAAAAAAAATCAAACACCACGAGAAAATTTCAATTGTTATTTTACCAATCTACATTTAAAAATTCAATTATTTTACCAATCTACATTTAAAAATTTAATTATTTTACCAATCTACATTTAAAATGGCTAATCAAACACCCAAGAAAATTTCAATTATTATTTTACCAATCTACATTTAAAATGACTAATCAAACACCCGAGAAAATTTCAATTATTATTTTACCAATCTACATTTAAAACTCATTTCCAACAACAACATATAATTAATTATATTTTTACTCGAACAAAAAAAAATTGTCAATTAGTTTATAAAAAACACCACAACAACCCTAATCACCAATCTACATTTAAAATGACTAATCAAACACCCGAGAAAAATTTCAATTATTATTTTACCAATCTACATTTAAAACACATATCCAACAACATCATATAATTAATCATATTTTTAATCCAACAAAAAAAAATTAAAATTGTCAATTAATTAGTACATTGCCACAACAAAAACCCTAATCACCATAATCCAACAATAACATCAAATTCATAAACAATTTGGATAAATATTCAATTAACCAAATTCATAAACATATATTAAACAACATTCAAGATTTTCTAAACAATACTCAATTAACCAAATATATCTCTTAAACAACCAAAAATTAATATTACATTATATTAAAATAACAACTAACCTCTTCTTTGACGATTGGTTGAAAATTTCTTTATTTCCCGGGAAAAGCTTCAATTCGCCAAAAAATCGAGCAAAAAACGAGAGGAGAAATGAAATGGGAAAATTTGTTTTTTTTTTTATTGTAGCTTCAATTCGCAATAAAATCGAGCAAAAAACGAGAGGAGAAAATGAAATGGGAGAGGAGAAATGGGAGAGAAAATTGAGAACGAGCTATATTTATCAACATAAAAACGGATTTTCAAAATCCGTTTTACTCGTTTTTAAATGAAAAACGGATTTTGAAAATCCGTTTTAGTCAGTGGATGTATTATTATTATTAAATTCGACCGTTATCATAAAAAAAAAAATAAAAAAAAAAAATCAAAACTAAAAACGGATTGTGAGAATCCGTTTTTCAATTAAAAATTTAATTAGAAAAACGGATTCTGAAAATCCGGCTGTTTGACCCATTTCCACAACTTTTTTTTTTTTGTTTTTTTCCACAGATTTTTGCTTTTTTTTTATATATATAATGCGCCCCCCATATGTGCTTATTTATTTGAAAAGTTTTAATATAATTGTTTGGTAATTTGTATTTTGAACTAAATAAATAGACTTCCATATTTAGGGTAATTTACTTTTTAAAAAAATAAAAAAATAAGTAGAAAAAAATAAAATAAAAAATCAGTAGCCCAAAATCAAATACACGTATTTTCAGAATACGTTTTAATAATTAGATTTTATTTAAAAAACGTATTCTTAAAATACGTGTTATAATTAATTTTATTTTTAAAAAAATATTAAAAAGTATTATAAAAAACTGTATTGTTATAATACGTTTTAAAAAAAATTAATAAATAAAACGTATTTTTATAAAACGTTTTATATTTTAAAATTAATGAAAAAAATTAATATTTAGTATGTATTTTGTGTTTCGAGCTTGTTTGAGATCGTCTGAACTCGAAATTGAGTTTCGTTTTTTCCTATACGTAGCTTAACGACCCTCTCTATTCAATGATGCTTGCATGACCAAATTATTCTTGAAATCTCTTGACCGACGGAACACCCGAAGTCTCCTCTTCTCGCTTATTTTGCTACTATTCCCACGGGAATTCAAGTTTCTCTAGTTAAATGCTCGAAAATCCAAAATACTCGATAAATGCCCCGTATGACATCGTGCCTGAATTATCTACACGACCCAACTCGATTCTCGGTAAACCGAAGTCACACGCGACCTTGCGGGACCCACGTAAACGGCTTTTTCATTTATTTTACTAATATGCACCCTCGAACTCGAGCTTCTCTAAATAAATGATCGGGACCTCGAAATAATAAATCGACGCCATAAACGAATTCTCCTCTTCTCGTGCTTTCTCGAAAGCACTTTTCGTTAATGCTCGACTCGCTTATCGAGGCCCGACGGAACACCCGAAGTCTCCTCTTCTCGCTTATTTTGCTACTATTCCCACGGGAATTCAAGTTTCTCTAGTTAAATGCTCGGAAATCCGAAATACTCGATAAATGCCCCGTATGACATCGTGCCTGAATTATCTACACGCCCCAACTCGATTCTCGGTAAACCGAAGTCACACGCGACCTTGCGGGACCCACGTAAACGGCTTTTTCATTTATTTTACTAATATGCACCCTCAAACTCGAGCTTCTCTAAATAAATGATCGGGACCTCGAAATAATAAATCGATGCCATAAACGGCTTCTCCTCTTCTCGTGCTTTCTCGAAAGCACTTTTCGTTAATGCTCGATTCGCTTATCGAGGCCCGACGGAACACCCGAAGTCTCTTCTTCTCGCTTATTTTGCTACTATTCCCACGGGAATTCAAGTTTCTCTAATTACATGCTCGAAAGTCCGAAATACTCGATAAATGCCCCGCATTACATCGTGCCTGAATTATCTACACGCCCCAACTAGATTCTTGGTAAACCGAAGTCACACGCGACCTTGCGGGACTCACGTAAACGGTTTTTTCATTTATTTTACTAATATGCACCCTCGAACTCGAGCTTCTTTAAATAAATGATCGGGACCTCAAAATAATAAATCGACGCCATAAACGGCTTCTCCTCTTCTCGTGTTTTCTCGAAAGCACTTTTCGTTAATGCTCGAATCGCTTATCGAGGTCCAACGGAACACCCAAAGTCGCTTCATTAAATAAGCTAATATATAGCGAAAAATGAAGAAAATTAAATATAAATAATTAATTTTTTTTATAAAACGTATTATGGTAATACGTTTTACAATTAATTAATTGCAAAACCTATTACCGTAATATATTTTACAAATAAATATAAATTATAAAATTAATTTAATTTGTAAAACGTATTTTCGAAATATATTTTATAATTAATTAATTGTAAAACGTATACGTTTTACAATTAAATGTAAATTATAAAATTAGTTTTATTTATCAAACGTATTATTGAAATACGTTTTAAAATTAAAACGTATTCCGAGAATACGTTTTACCAGAATACGACCTTTTGATTTTGGTTCACATTTTAATTTTTCTTTTTGTTTTTGTTCACTTATTTTTTTTGAATTTTTATTTAAAGAAAAAATCTCCATATTTAAGGTTGTACCATTTGAAATTTTTAAAGATTTGTTAGGCCTTTAAGAATTGAGGTATATAATTTGGCCAGGGCACACGGTCTGTGGAACACAGATTGCTTAGGCACGCACGTGTTGCGCTTGGTGCTGAGCCGTGGGTCCACCGAACTCTGACCGGATTGACCGAACTTTATGAAAGACGAGAGACGCGAGAGAGAGAAGCACATCATTGGAGATGCACAGATGCACATCATTAGAGATTACGGAAAAGATGATCATATATCAAGAAAAAATGGAAGGACTAAAAGCTGGATGGATTCTTATAAGTTTTATGTGTAATTTAATTTATGCAAAGATCCATATTCTATGAATTGATATAATTACATGTTTAGGGTTTATTCTATTTCGCATAATAGTTATGAATATACCCGTTAAATTTCTTACAATCATAATTTATAACCATCTCTGATTTTTTGCCTTCTGTTTAATTAATGAGTAATTGATACGATCGTGACACATATTATCCATAAGCACATTTATCATGTAGAAAGCTACTTGAATGAACAAATATGAATACCAAATGCATTTATATAACTTTTCTCCTCTCTCTTCTTCTTCAATTTCATCTATGTCTGTTAGATCATCTTTGTGCATTTCAATATGAGACATTATGTGAAGAAACAATATAAAATTCATGTAAATAAAAAACCATCAAAATCATATAGCTTATAGTACACATAAAATTCATGAAAACAAAAAACCAAAGATAAAACTACTCAAAACAATGAACATAGACATATAAAATTTTAATAGAATCCTATATATAAATTATTTTAGCTTATATGCTATCCACTCAGTTCATTCATCCGGAAACATGCTAAAAAACACTGACTTTTTTGCTTTAGTATAAGAAAATCAGGAGCTTTGATTATTGAAAGAAAAAACCCTTGAATCAGGCTTATTGCAAAGGCTAGTAGAAAGTTATATCCAAATTTAAAGACTAGTGAAAAATTTACAAAGCTTGATATATCCTCATAAGAAGTTTCTTTTTTTTTTAAACAACACCCCGGGAGGTGTGAGGGTTAAAGGCCGAACCTCCAACCTGTATATATAAAGGCCCTAAATAGGCTGAAAAGTCACAAAACTACAATTCGATGTCTAAATAAACAACAGTCTAAATGAACAAAAACAAAACAAAACAAAACAAAACAAAAACAAGTAAAAGAAAAAGACAACAACTGCAAAAATCTGATCCTGCGAAGAGTCAACATCACGAGTAAGCAGTGGCACCAAAATGTCTGACTGTCCAGATCTAAACGATGGGATCCTCAGAAGAAGTTTCACGAAGTTATATGTGTCGACATCTGCGTTATCTTGGGGAAAAAAAAAATGCATTACATGAACTATCTGAAATATTTCCTCCAAAAGTTTCAAACAGCTATCAGGTGAGAGATTTTCAACTTGCTTCCTAGTGCTGAACTTTCACATTATGGAGTCACAAAAACTTACAGCAGCAGCGAGGAAATTTCTGAACACTCACATTCATGGGTTTATAAAGTATTTATCCTAACCAAACATTCTGAACACTCACATCCATGGGTTCAAATTGCAGCAAAAAATGAATAATAATAATAATAATAATAATAATAAATTGACCAGTAAAATATCTCAAGTTCTAACAGCCTAAACACCTGAATTCTATAAATTCGATACACACTTGAACTTTAAGTATCCACATTGGTAAATAGTAAACACAATCAAGACAAGACAATGGGATTAGAAATCTAGTTAAACTTGAAGACAAAAGCTATTATACTTTATTAGCAGCAGTTGCAGTAGTACGTAGTATCTAATATTGATTAAAATTAAAAGACAAGACAGTGGGATTAGAAATCTAGTTAAACTTGAAGACAAAAGCTATTATCCGTTTACCAGCAGTAGTTGTATAGTAGTAGTAGTATCTGTAATTGATTAAAATTAGAAGACTTGTCCAGTGATGTTGATTGCTACAACACTCCTGACTGTGTACTTTCCTGATTCCCAGAGCAAGTAGCCTTGTGCAACGGATTCATTATTCCCACAGCAGGCCATATTCTTCCTGCGGTGAAACGTCACGTGGTACGTCGCCTCCTGCTTCAACTTGGTGAAACACATCCTCGATGGCCTCACGACAATATTCACACACGCGGGCTCGGAAATCCTGACGGAGTAACACGAGACAGGCTCCCCCACGTTTTTGACGGTCCGCGAGACTGTCTGGGACGGGCCAAGCGAAACCGAGATGGTGGGGTAGTTCAGTTGCCCCTGAGAGATACTCGTCGAGCAATCGGCCGGCTCCTGCGTGATCATCTCGACTTGGTCCTCCGTGTATCCCAAGCCGCACAAAAATGGGACGTACTCATCCATCGCAATGTCGTAGACGAGACCGGGATCCAATGCCCTATTCGGGTTGACGTGGCCGGCCCCAGTCGCGTAGGCATTGGCCGGATTAAGTTTCTCGTCGAAAATCGGTATTCCGTGGGAATTGACGAGGTCCGCGGTGGTCATGATTGCAGATTTCAGGGCTGCCGGCGACCAGTCTGGGTGGGCGCTCTTGAGCAGGGCCACGACCCCACTGATGTGAGGACACGCCATGGACGTGCCCGAATCGATTTTGAATGTGACGCCCAAATTATCCGGGTCGAGAGGAGACCACCCGGCAAGAATCATTTCGCCCGGCCCAATGATGTCCGGTTTCAAAACTCCGGGAGCTTGGCTGCTTGGCCCCCTGGACGAGTAATAAGTGACGGCGGGAGAAATCGGGTACCCGAGCTCCGTCCCCTCGAACGAGATTGTTGCCTTTGGGGAGGATGTCGACTTTATGTAGGCCTTGATTTCTTGGCCCGCGATAAAAGACACCGTTGTGGATGGCAAGTCGAGGAGATCAGTATAGTGGCTAAACGCAGCGACTTGGTCGTTGGCCAGTATCATGGCGGCACCACCGGCATCCTTAACTTCCTGGGCTTGATCCCTGGGGTCGAGGGCTATATTTACGTCACACAACACAATCTTCTTCCTGACATCGAACCCCGCCAGCGACCCGCTGTAGCACTCTTGTTTCCCGGAGCTGTTGTAGTAGACGAGCGGCCACAACTTGTGAGAAGAGAAGTTTCGGGGCTGGAACACAGACTCCCCGTCGAACATCTTTCCGTTTCCCAGCTTTGCCGAGGCTCGAATCCTTCGGTCGATCGTGCTTGCCCCGACTGTCAGAAGCCAAGGAGCGTCGTTGGCCACCGTCCAGGCAGAAGGACCGCTGTTCCCCGTAGCCACAATCATGAGGATTCCTTTCTTGGTCGCCGCAAAAGCGCCTTTCATTATACTGTCTTTGTAAAATGGTCTGGACCCATAGCCCAAGGACACGGACAGCACGTCCACCCCATCCTCAATGGCGGCATCAATAGCGGCTAGAACGTCGCTCTCTTTGCATTCGGGAGGAAAGCAGGCTTTGTATGCCGCGAGGTGAGCGCGTGGGGCCATGCCGGACGCTGTCCCGAGGGCGGCGCCTTGGATGCTGACGCCGGGCACAAACGTGCCGGCAGCTGTGCTAGCCGTGTGGGTCCCGTGCCCTTCTATGTCCACCGGCGAGGCCGAGGAATTGCCCCCCTGGAACGCCCGCACGCCTATGAGTTTGTTGTTGCACCCCTTTGACTTCAACTTGTGAGGGAGGTCGCACCGCCCCTTCCAGCTGGCACGCGGGGGAGGCATGCCGGCATCACCGAACGAGGGGTGGCCCGGGGTTATCCCTGTGTCAATGACCCCAACAATGACTCCATTGCCGAGCCCCGTCCGCGGCCAAGCTCCGGTGTTCTGGTTCAGCCCGAGGAATCCTGGGGAACGGGTCGTCAGCGGCTGGTATGCAATGACTGGGAGGATCGAGATAAAGCCTTCAGTGTCCTTGATGACTTCCACTTGCTCGGGTGTTAGTCTTGCCGAGAAGCCACTGATGGCGTGCTTGTACGAGTAGATCAGCGAGTGTTTGTCTCCCGGGGGAAGAAACGACGTGTGGTAGCTCGTAATCATGTCCTCGGTTTTGGCAATGCCGGTGGAGCTTGGATTCATCTTCTTCTTCACGTGGACGATGTAAGTTTCATCGAGCGATGATGCGGCCGTGAGGAGGAGGAGAGAGAAGAGGGTTATGGGTATGAGTGTACTGTGGAAGAAATTAAGGGGAGGAGCCATGGTACTGGATTTTGACTGAATCTCAACTCTTAAAATTGCATGTATTTATGAGGATACGACGAAGGTGAGGTGAAAATGATTCTTTGATATTGGAAATTTTATATACCACTCACACAATTGAGGTAGAATTATATGATGAACTTTTTTTTATTATTTTTAAATGTATTAAAGTTTGAGACTTATAAAAAGTTATAAAGACTTTTTAACACAATTGAGGTAGAATTATATGATGAACTTTTTTTTATTATTTTTAAATGTATTAAAGTTTGAGACTTATAAAAAGTTATAAAGACTTTTTAGGATTTTGTAAGATATAGGATTCTTAAGGATTTTGATTATTCTCATGAATTTGACACAATTTCTTACAAATCCAAAAAAAATCTTATGTTTTTAGACTTTTTTAGATTTTTCATGACATTTCAAGATTTTCTTAGACTTTTATTATTATTTTTGCATTAAACACATAACACATTGGTATGTAATTCTACGCATATTATTTTTTTCTAAATATTGACTTTTCATTCTAAAAGAATTATGGAAAATAATTCTACGCATATTATTTTTTTTTTAAATATTGACTTTTCATCCTAAAAGAATTATGGAAAATGATAACATGTTAAGTAATTTTTTTTTCATCTTTATTTCATTATATATATATATATAAATAAATAAAATTATTCTTAAAATTAATATAATTTACCATTTAGTAAATAATGCCTAGATACATTAAATATTTTTACTAATGGCCAGATAATGAAATTGAAATATATTAACTATTCTTTAGAATTTCAACATTTGATTTATTTGTATATTTGATATAGCTATATTACCATATACCGGCTCTAAAGCCCTTAACTCGACCGGGTAACCACGCAGACCGTCCGCAGGACGATATGTGCCCATCGACATACTCAAATCGACTTCCGTAAAGTCGACTCTACGAAGAGCGACCGTGAAGAGACAGAAATCTGTCTAGTCGACTCTCGCAAGTCGACCTCAGTCTGTCGACTTCCAATAATCGACATCTGTATAAGAAGAACAACAAGAGCGTAACCTCCGAGCATCCAGATACTCTAAGTCGACTTCACTAAGTCGATTCTCTGAAGATGACTTCCACTCGAGAGAACTAACCAAGTGTAGCCTCCGAGTCCTCATATGATCATAAGTCGACCTCCTAGCTTTCGAGGCCGACTCTGTATACCTCGAAGACCAAAGAAGTGACGACGACTCATCACATTTGCAACATACTTAAAGCTCTACATCCTTCAAGGGATAAAGGAGAATCTTGTGATGACTCAGCAGCAAGAGGAGACGAACCGACCGGGGTATTTTGGGCCTTTTAGGTCCACCGACTTGGGCATTTCGAGTACTTCAAGTAAGCATTTACTCCTATATAAAGGGGATGAGGTAACCATAAACCCTAACTCTCATTCATTCCACACTCTCCTCATAGCTTCTGCGCAGCATCCCTTCATCTCTCTGATACTGACTTGAGCGTCGGAGGCTCTAAGCCAGAAACATCTCCGGCGTTGAGTTTTTGCAGGTATTCTTACGGTCTAACAACGATTCAGAGGCGGTTCAAGCAGATCTGAGCTCAAATCCACCGGTTCTCTTCAGATCTAGAAGTAGACCCATCAATATTATTATTAATCATGATTATTTATTTATTTTGATTTCTCTCCATAGTGAAATTCTTTTGAAATATATTGCATAGTTTGTTGAATAAACTATAAAGCCTTATGATGCAAATTAGAAAATTCAAGGAGGTTTAATTATTATAAAAATAAATAAATAAATTCTAATTTTGTTTTTTATTTTGTAAAATATTTGTACACAAAATTAAACTAAGAAGAGGATATATTTATAACTTTTATAAATAATAATGATGATATTATATTACAATAAATTTTATAATAAAATATAACTAAGTATTATACGAGGAGCAAGAATAAATAAAATTAATTTCATGACAATTGTTATTAAGGGTGAACATCTAAATGAAAGATATATTAATAGCTCTGTTCACAACTTATGTCCTTTTTTACCGTGGCTTGCTTCCTCAACCCTTAAACTCCATGTATTTATAAGGATATGACGAAGATGAGGTGAATCAATTAGAATAAGAAAAATGATTTTTTGATATTAGAAAATTAATTTGATATAGCACTCTACAAAATTGAGGTAGAATTATATGATTAACTTATTTATTTTAAATATGGTGTTGTTGATGAAATAATGTACATTGTGTCACGGATTTCGATGTATCGTGTAATGAAATCGAAGGTACCATTGAATAGGTTGAGTCCAAAGCTTCAAAATCTATAGTAATATAAAGAGGTTGATGGAAAAATACAAAAATAGTATGTTTGACTTGAAAAATAAAGTTTTGACTTACTAATTTAAGTAACACCAATGGGGCCCACGCGATAAATTAAATTTAAGTAATAAATATCTCATAGCAAAATTAGTTCAGATTTTCTTAACCAATGTCAACAGATTCAGTGGGATTTTATTCTTAACCAATCTTAACAGATTCTATGGAATTTTATATGTTCACAATTTTCATAATTACTACAAGATCTTGAAGATAATGATCGAAATTGCCTTAACAAAATTATCGGATTTTGTTAACTATATTGTTAAGATTTTGATTAATTTTATATATAAATTGTTACCAATTTTTCACGTAACTGCAGATTTTTAGGGCAGCTATAAAATTGATGATTTGGACGTCTTTTCACATTTGTTTGGATTTTTTTCTTTATTTACTAACAGATATATGATCCGATTTTGTAGGATTGTATTTATTCACAAATTTCTTAATTACTACATATTGCATCGAAATTGTCCAAATATTTTTGCCAACTCATTATAAGCAAAATCAAGTAAATCGGATAGGATCCGACGGGATATTGATCATATCACAATAAAAAATATCGGATAGCTGTTGAATCTGACGGCATATTAATCATATCACTATAAATATCCTATCTTTCTAATGCATTCATCGTATTATTACATTCAAACTCATACTCTCGGTTCTTTCTACATAAAATAAAAAATAAAAGAACGCACTCACTCTAATGTTACTTTGAACGAATCACAAATAACTGGGCAGCACATACAAATCGTATTTTGAGATTAGCAATCTTTTTTTTTTGTTCAATTTATCCAATATCTAATGCCGACATTCTTTTTTTTTTTGTTTTTTTTGCAGACGTACAGACTGACTTACAGATTTGTGTGTGAAGAACCTTCAAGTTGTGAAGAACAGAATTGGATGGAAAGGCAATAATGACGACATTGTTCACAACATCATCAGAAAACGAATGTTGTAAGGTTTTTTATTTTAATTTTTTTTTTCTCTACTTCATGTGTAAAGATGAACTTATTTTTTATTACAGTATACTTACTATTTCATGTTTAATAGCAACAAACACAAGGATGAGTGGACATCTAGCCTACGTAATGGAAGGAAAAACAACAAATAGAGAAAAGGAAGGGAAAACAATAGCAGCTACAGAACCTCATAACACACTTCATGGAATTCAGATCAACAGAAGCAGATTTTATGACAAAATTCAAATAAGTACCTTTAAAATTTTTTTTTTTTTTTTTGTTTTACCTTTATTGTTAACACTGAATTCTATATTTTATGCATGAAAAGAATATTAAAAAAATTTGTTTTTCAGTGAAACCTATCTATTTTATATTTACCTTTGTTTACCTTTGAGTTTGTTGTGAATCTGTTAACTTTTATACGATTACAGACTTAACATAATTCTTAATAGTTGCTATCAAACATGTTCAGGTTATGAATTTTAATAATATAGTTTTACTAATAAAAACATATGCATACAATCAATAGAATGTCATAGCCGATGTTTAGTAATATGACTGTAGTTTACTGATATACAAACTTACTCTAGAATTAATCTCTTGGATGCAATGATATATCTTCGTGATATGATAATCAATAAAATTACTTCAGTACTAAAATAAAGGTAATCATCAAAGGACAGCAAGAGCCAGTCATTACTGTTAACAGGGTTATAGGTAAACTATGATAAGACCATAATTACAGTTACAGATATCCCGAAGAATCCATTTTTTATTTGTTAGTCATCTGTTTAAGAACAAACAACAATACGGCAATATAGATCTGAGTTAGTATTTGAAATGGTATCAATGTTCCAAAAACACATAATTTTGATGTGCACATTAGTTTCAATCATAACAGTAACAACAAATCGATATAGAACTTGAAATAATTAAATATTTACAAACTATTACAAACATAATCGTTCGTAATAGTAGTTTTCATGTTACTTTTTCATAGAACTTTCTGATTTGAAAGATATTCGAATGAACAAACAAGATTCGTATGTGCTTTTGGATCAAATGTTCGACATTCTAAAAAATAAAAAATTTAAGAAAAAGACACACTAAAAAAATGTGAAGTACAGTTACTGTTCAAATTGAATTTTAAAAATCGGTCTGAAATCTAATTAAATAACAGATCTAAAACGTTTTATAAATAAAATTATATACTTTAGTAAAATATCGATACTTCATTTCTGGATTTCATTTTTTTCGACACAAAACTTTCGAATTTGAAAGAAAATTCGAAAAATAAAACCAGATTCGTCATGAATAGTAGGCTGATCTATAAATTTTTTTCAAAATCAGACTGTCTATTAACATTATCTGTGAACAATGAGTTAGTAGATCTGGATACGGTAAAGGAAAAACGACCTTCAATTTTTATACAATAATCCCGAATAAAAAAATTAAAAAATGAAAGTCCTCAGTCGTTCATAAAATTTTTGAATCGGGTGTATCATACATATTCATCAAATCATATTCGACTGAGATTCTTATCAAACTCAACTAACATTAACTCAAATCGATGAAAATAAAAAAAAAATAATAATAAACTGAAAAAGCCCATATCAAGTTTTTCGAATCCGTGCTCAAAACAATATGTTTCATGTCGTAATCGACATAGATTCTCATAAAAATCTATTATCATGAGCTGAGTTCGTTCAAAATTAAAACAAAAATAAAAAAAATGAAACGAAAGGTCAGGTGAAGGGTCGAGAAAGATGAATCGGTGGGAGAGAGAAGTGAGAAGAAGCTGAGAGAACAAATGATAAACCCTAAAAATTGGGTTTTTTTACCTTTTATAGTATGCTTTATTGATTTCAGGCCGTTAGATATTGTTTGACTAATATTAGCCGTCCGATCGGCTAATAGTTGTTTATGGACCGAGTTTAATCAAATGATAATGGGCTCAGATTTTTTGAAATATATTGGGCCCTGTTCAGACTGAATCATTAATATTTTAATAATGGACCGACTTTACACCACTGCTAATGGGCAAACTTTACTTTAATTATATATTTCATTTAATGTTATTTCATTTTTTTTATCAGTAAATGTAAATTAATAAATCAAAATTGGTGTACAAATGACCAAAAGTCGGCATACAAAAGCACAATAAGGGGCCACAAACTTGGCTCCCCATTGGCCTATAAATAAAAAATGGTATTTCATTGGCTTATTGTTAACAAATCTTGGATTTTAGTAACAAATTTGATCTTATTTTAATAACAAATCTCAGATTTTGGTAACAAATTTGATCTTATTTTGATGACAAATCTCGGATTTTGTTAACAGATTTGATCTGATTGTGATAAAAAATCTTTTAAGATATCAGTTTTTCTTTAGTAACACGCTTCAAAGTTATTTACACACAATATATTGTCGATAATCTTTGAGATTTCTTTTGGTAACAAATTTCACAATTTTTTCGACTGTTTGGAGTTAAATATTGCAGAAAAAATCTAGAGATTTGATAAATGATACATATCAAAATAAAAATATTATTTTTCAATCAATACAAAAAACCTTACCAAATTAAATTGTAACATACTCCATTAATTTTGGTAAACATTATGCCACATTGATATGACACATAATCTTCAAAATATAAATTTAATTGTTGATTTACTAATATAAACAATATCAATGGGTCCCACATGTCAACAAATTTAATCGGATTTTTATAACAAATCTCGAATTCTGGTAACAAATTTGATCTTATTTTGATAACAAATCTCGGATTTTGTTAACAAATTTGATCTGATTGTGATAACAAATCTCGAATTTTGATAACAAATTTGTTAAAATATTGGTTTATTGGTAACACATTTCATAGTTATTTATAAATAATATATTGCCGATAATCTTGGGATTTCTTTTGGTAACAAATTTCACAATTTTTTCGTATTGTTTGGAGTTAAATATTGTAGAAAAAATCTCAAGATTTGGTAAATGATACATATCAAATAAAAATATTATTTTTCAATCAATCCAAAAAGTCTTACCAAATTAAATTGTAACAAACTCCATTAATTTTGGTAAATCACATTGATATGACACATAATATTCAAAATAAAAAAATTAGTTGTTGACTTACTAATATAAGAAATATCAATGGGCCCCACATGTCAACAAATTTAATCGGATTTTGGTAGCAAATTTGATCGGATTTTGATAACAAATCTCGGATTTTAGTAACAAATTTGATCATATTTTGATAACAAATCTCGGATTTTGTTAACAAATTTGATCTCATTGTAACAAATCTCGGATTGTGATAACAAATCTCGAATTTTGATAACAAATCTTTAAAAAAATCAGTTTTTTTGGTAACACACTTCATAGTTATTTACACACAATATACTGCCGATAATCTTTGGGATTTCTTTTAGTAACAAATTTCATAACTTTTTCGGATTGTTTGGAGTTTAATAATGCAGAAAAAAATCTCGAAATTTGATAAACGATACATATCAAGATAAAAATATTATTTTTCAATCAATCCAAAAAGCCTTACCAAATTAAATTGTAAAAAACTCAATTAATTTTGATAAAAACATTATGTCACATTGATATGACACCTATTATTCAAAATAAAAATTTAATTGTTGACTTACTAATATAAGTTATATCAATGGGCCCCATATGTCAACCAATTTAATTGAATTTTGGTAACAAATTTGATCGAGTTTTGATAACAAATCTCGAATTTTGGTAACAAATTTGATGTTATTTTGATAACAAATCTCTGATTTTGTTAACAAATTTTATCTGATTGTGATAACAAATCTCGGATTTTGATAACAAATCATTTAAAATATTGGTGTTTTTTGGTAACACACTTCATAGTTATTTACATACAATATATTGTCGATAATCTTTGCGATTTATTTTGGTAACAAATTTCACAATTTGTTCGGATTGTTTGAAGTTCAATATTGCAAAAAAAAAAAAATCTCGAGATTTGATAAATAAGACATATCAAAATAAAAACATTATTTTTCAATCAATCCAAAAAGCCTTGCCAAATTAAATTGTAACAATCTCTATTAATTTTGGTAACATTATGTCACATTGATATGACACATAATTTTCAATAACCGACAAAATTCGAGACACATGTAACAAGTTGCACATTTTTTGTTTTTGTTTTTGTTTTAACAAAAATGGATAAACATATTTTTTGAAATCGATCGTAATCACATTATTTAAGAAAATAAATCCTACAAAAAACATGACATAAATCAATTTTGAATTTATATTTTATACCAGTATTTTATTGATGTATATAATCTACATTATCCAAACTACTAATGGTTGTTACAAATATATATCTAGAAAACAAGTAACTACTCGAATAAGGGTTTGAATAATAGGATTGATAAGCGTGATCTTATTTCTTAAGCTTATCTGATCGTTTTTAACTTGATATTTTGTAACTATATCTGCTATATGGGTCTGTGTAATGAGACACGATTGGTTGTCACAAAGCTCTCCACTCACGTTTTCGAGCGTAAGATATTCACTGGCAATCACGCAAGTAAAATGTTGATTCCAAGAATGACTATATTTCCTTCTGATGTTAGAATTCCTTTCAAGTTTCAGCGTCGGCAGTTTCCTATTATGGTTTCTTACGCCATGACTATAAATAAGAGCCAGAGACAATTATTTGCATGTGGGCTTATTTCTTAAGAAACCAGTATTTTCTCATGGCCAGTTGTATGTTGTTGTCTCCCGTGTCACAAACATAAATAGTTTGAAAATCCTAATTTGTGGCGACGATTACGTGTCAAAGAATCAAACCATGAACGTTGTATATAAAGAAATGTTCAATAATATATAGATTCAATTTTCATTATATTTATTAATTATTAATGACATGATCTTTCCTTTAGTAAGTACTTTGAATTT